GGCAGGGATGTTGGCCCACTCCTCCCTGCAGACAGCCTCCAAATCATTCAGGTTCCGAGGTTGTCGCCTGGCAACTCGAATTTTAAGCTCCCTCCAAAGATTTTCAATTGGATTCAGGTCTGGAGACTGGCTAGGCCACTCCAGAACCTTGATCTGCTTCTTCTTCAGCCACTCTTTTGTTGCTTTGGCGGTGTGCTTAGGGTCGTTGTCGTGCTGAAACACCCATCCTCGACCCATCTTCAGCTCTCTCACTGAGGGAAGGAGATGTTGGTCCAGAATTCCACAATACATGGCCCCGTCCATCCTCCCCTCAATACGATGGAGTTGTCCCGTCCCCTTGGCTGAAAAGCACCCCCAAAGCATGATGTTGCCACCACCATGCTTGACGGTGGGGATGGTTATCTTTGGGTTGTACTCGGTGTTCTTTGCCCTCCAAACACAACGAGTTGAGTTGAGGCCAAAAAGTTATATTTTGGTCTCATCTGACCACATCACCTTCTTCCAGGCCTCTTCTGAGTCGTCCCGGTGGTGAATGGAGAACTTCATGCGGGCCTGTACATGTTTCTTCTTGAGCAGGGGGACCTTGCGTGCGCTGCAGGATTTCAATCCATGACGGCGTAGTGTGTTACCAACCGTTTCTTTTGTAACTGTGGTCCCAGCTGCCTTCAGTTGATTCATCAGTTCCCCCCTTGTGGTTTTGGGATGATTCTTCACCGTTCGCATGGTCAGGGACACCCCACGAGGCGAGATCTTGCGTGGAGGCCAAGACCAAGGGAGGTTGGCGGTGGTGTGGTGCTTCTTCCATTTCCTGATAACTGCACCGACAGTTGATCTTTTGTCTCCAAGTTGTTTTCCGAATCTCTTGTAGCCTATCCCAGCCTTGTGCAGATCAACAATCTTGTCCCTGATGTCCGTAGAAAGCTCTTTGGCCTTGCCCATGGTGGTGATGTTGGATGCTGGTTGTTTGGGTGTTGACAGGTGTCTTTTATACAGGTAACAAGGTGAGGCAGATATATTTGATGTAGATAATTGGTTGGGATTGGGGCTGTGTCTTAAAGAAAGACTAACTGGCTTGTAGGAGCCAGAATACTTGCTGTTTGGTAGGGGGTCAAATACTTATTTTTCCTCATCAGATGGTTATCAATTTTTATAAATTCATATGATGTGAATTTCTGGAATTTTCTTCTGGATTCTGTCTCTCACTGTTAGAATGTACATTTGATAAAAATTTTAGATGGTTGCATTCTTTGTAAGTGGGCAAACCTGCAAAATCAGCAAGGGGTCAAATACTTATTTCCCCCACTGTATATACACACACACACATACACACATACGTGTTTTCATTATATATAGGGACGCATGACGAAAATAGGACAAATGTGTACGTGGCTTTCCAAAGGTTCTTAGGACAATGGAGATATTTGGTTTAGGGGCATTTTGGGGCTTCTTTAACACTGTAGTATGCTCAGAAATATGAGGACACGAAAAGCGTCCTCATATTTCTACGCGTCCTGATATTGAAGGTGTGTATTCGCAAAATTGTCCTGAAATATCATGAAAACAAACACACACACACAATAACTGATTACATGTTTTCAGGGTCGGGTTTAGCACTTTCAGTCACAGTTTATTCCCATTATGAGCAGTTTCCACTTTGGTGGAAGCTCCTTTTATACCCAGTCCTGACTCCCTCACCAGCTAATCTGATATGGATGTTGTAGTGTCTGCCCCCCGTTATCCGAGCTGAATTTTAAAACAGGAAGTTTACGCCTCAACTTTGATCTCTGCTAAAAATTGGATGTGATGCAAGAATGCTTTTTAAATATCAACCGCTTATGATTTCTGTATCCTTGTATCTTCCATCAGTTTTAAAAAAAAAAACAGTTTTGAAGATGGTCGGCTCTTGTTTGTTTCTTCTGTACCCTGAAACCAGATGACACCACTCCCAATTAGATTGAGAATCTTTTTCCTCGCTTCTTCTTCTTGTTTTTTTTCTTTTTTTTTCTTACACTAGCATTGAAAATTGCTTGTCAAACTCATTTCACCTCAGAACTCTGGAATGAAACACGAGTAAGCCCATTTGAATTGCGGCGAACAACAAATCACAAATGGGATATAGACTGCCGGAGGCTTTATTGGCACTTCCCGAGCTATTGCATTGAATTTAAAGGCTCCGGGGTGTTTAATCACTGTGCTAGATTCGGGGAGATTGCGTTGTAGTTGATGAATACTCGGTGGATTAAGGCAGGCAGGCAGAGTCTTCTGCTTGAATGTGGTTTGAAGAAGTGTCTTCTTGCATCCTCCATCTATTTGTCAGCAATCCGACTGGGACTGCTGGCTTTTTTTTTTTTTCATCACTCATTACAGCAACTGACCTACAAAAAACATTTGCATCTTTAAAAGTCTTTAATATGATAGTGAATTTGAAAAAAGCAAAATCCATGAATAATATCTTTATGAAAACTTGATCAAACTCAGTCTTTGACAGTAATTTGAAACAAAAAGAAAACATATTTTCCTCTTTTTTCAACACTTTTGTTGTATGAAGGCTTATCTGACAAGTCAAAAAAGGACTTGTCAGAATGTGTTTTCTCTCTATTTTTGGACCCAGGCCCATTTTTTCCTAAAATAAATTTCTTTTTAAAATAATTTTTAATTTTTTTTTTTAGATACCTGACCAATTGGGGCCCAAAAATCACATTCACTATTTCAAAAATCTGTAATGTTATTTTGGCCCATTTTTGATAAATTGTTTTTTTGGTTTTGCCAGCATCACTTCTTAAGGGTTAAACATGAAATTTCATCAAATGCTTCTTCAAATTTCTGTCTGTACATGCATAGTTTGTAAAAATTGTCAATTGCAATTGTTTTTTTTCTTGTTTCCGTCTCTCCCTTTATCTGTGGCTCAAATATTACCCTTCTCCTCTCCATCTGGAACCAAATATTTGGCATTTTCCGAAGCCTAACTACTTGTTGTGTGTGTCGTAATATACTATCTTGTTTTTGCCGTGTATATGAGGTACCGTGCTGATTACGAGCACCATTATAAAACTTTAACAACCACAACAAAACCGTGAGACAAATAAAAAGGGGTTCAACGTTTTGCCTGAGCAAACTATTATCCTCAATTAAGGTTCATTTCCACAAGAAAAAGCCACCCTAAATAACTTGCCAGTGAACCTTGCAGAATTTCTTGGACAGTCAAGATGGAGAGGAGGGACAATTGCAATTGACAATTTTACAAACTATGCATGTACAGACAGAAATTTGATGAAGCATTTGATGAATTTTGATGTTTAACCCTTAAAAATTGATGCTGGCAAAACAAGCCATATACATTCAAACCAATTAATTCAAAATGGGCCAAAGTATCCTGTGAAACATTACAGATCTTTGAAATAGTGAATATGATTTTTGGGCCCCAATTGGTCAGTTATCTAAAAAAAAAAACTTTCAACATTCACACTTTTTAAAAAACTTTTATTTTACAAAAAAATAGGCCAAAAATGGAGAGAAAAGACATTCTATCCTTTTTTTTTCATGCAACAAAAGTGTTGAAAAAAGAGGAAAATATGTTTTCTTTTTGTTTCAGATTACTACGGTGGCTGAGAAGTGCAAAACACATTTACAATAAATAAAAAACGTTGAAAAATTAAAAAACAAAATAACATTGTAAGATACACATTCACAATTAAAGAAACACATCCATCCATTATGTGAACTGCTTATTCCCAAATCGTTGACATGAACAAATGAAAAAACAATATACCATTTTAAGAAACAAATTCATTTTTTAGGAGACAAACATTTTTGAAAAAAATTGTTTCTTAAAATGTTATGTTTTTTTAATTTGTAAATGTGTTTTCTGAACTTTAAATGTGTATCTTAAAATTTTATTTAGCTTTTTTAAATCACAAGGTGTTTTTTAAATTGTAAATGTGTTTTGCACTTCTCAGCCACCGTAGATTACTGTCAAATTGGACAAAAATGATAATTAAAGACAAACTTCTGCTCCGTTGCTCATCTGGACTGACTGATCCAGCATTTGGACTCAAAATCTTACGATATCGAACCGATTTCTCTCGACGATTGTGGGTCATTGATATTTCCTTTTCTCTCTCTTTCCCCTCTTTTCTGGATATAGTGCCGGGGAACTTGGGATGCTTCAAAGACAGCGGTGACCCCCCCACGCTGTCCGGTACCAGCGAGACCTCCAACAAGCTCACAATTCAGAACTG